GCTTCCAATGGGCTACTGCCCTCAGCTCTGAAAAAGCTGACTCTGTTATTACACACCTCTTAGAGGTGATGGCTGTTATGGGTATACCTAAAACAATAAAAACTGACAATGGTCCAGCATATGTCTCCAGTAAATTGGAACAATTCTTCAAATATTATAATATAAAACATGTAACTGGTATACCTTACAATCCCACAGGACAAGCAATAATTGAAAGATCTAACCGAACCTTAAAAGAGATGCTTCATAAACAGCCAGGGAAAACAAAGACACCTAAACACAGGTTACACAATGCTTTACTAACGTTGAATTTTCTTAATGCTGATGAAAAAGGACAAACGGCAGCAGAAAGACACTGGACTACAGAGAAGACTTCTGAACTGAACCAACCGGTGTATTTTAAGGATGTTATGACCTCAGTCTGGAAACCAGGATATGTGTTACGTTGGGGAAGGGGTTATGCTTTTGTTTCCACAGGAGAAGAAAAGGTTTTGGTTCCATCAAAATTAATTAAAATTCGATCAGAACAGAAAACATCTCAGGAGGAGGAAGATAACAGCCCATCTACAAATTCATAGTCCACCATGGGTAAAGTGACCTCCTAAAAGGAAAGAGAAGTGTTTTGTTTTTGTCTTCAAAGGTAAACTCAACAAAGAATACTGGACATATGGATTCCTGTAGAAGAATGAATAGCTACCCTGGGGACCATCAAACAAACAGTAACTCACTGTGTGGTATCAAAGTCTAAATCTCTCTATATTGTTTTTTCATAGTACCCTTTTATCTTTATTTCTTCACATACCTCAGTCCCCATTCATTTAACTGAAGCTGGCTTTGGAGTTGGATTGGCTCTCCTACTCTAAACTCAAGCATATTATTTAAATACGATTCAGAATTTCTGTATTATATCAAAGAGCCATTGATATAAGACAGAAGAAATAAAATGAGGGACTGTTATCTGTGGATTTCTTTTTCTGAACAGTCTAATTTCCTCCAGGTTTTCCATCTTCCCTATTGTCACCTCTTCTGTATGCATACATATGAAAGTTAAAATATTTTTTGTTAACATTAATGTTTGAGTTTTCCAGAGAACAAGGGATTTCCTGACAGCAATCTTCAACTGCTCCCGAAAGAGAATGAGGATCCCCTTCCTTGACTTCACCTGATTTGACTGGAGGCATCTGAACTGCCCCACATCATTGACTCCATCTGACAAGCACTATCCTGAAAATGGCTTGAAACTACATCACTCTACACAACTCTGGACCAAGAAACTGAAACAGCACATCTTCTACAATCTGGCCAGAGCTTCAAGATAAGAGCTTCAATCAACACTAGAACCCCAGTCAGGAACTTCAATCAAGCATCTCTGGCCATACTGAGACTGTCTGATCTACTGAGATTTTGTTATACTAACATTTTCTTTTCACAGGTCCCCATGAGATTATCATCGTCCCATCTCATCAGGAAGTAGTTTTGAGAATTCCACGCCCCCTCTCCCTACTATTGATATTATAAGATAGTTTACACTTGTTAGTGTTAGTTTTCAATTATTTTAGAGTTGGGATTGGAAGGAGGTGTTCATATTTGGGTGTTTCTTTCAGATAAGTTTAGGTTTAGATAGAAGTTTGATACATTTTGTTCATGGATACAAGTTAGTTGTCCTTTTTTAGACTAAAAGGGGAATTGTAGGATGAAGTCTGATGCCGCCATTAAACATGTGACTTATTAGAGGCGCATATAGATGAGGTAATAAAAGGGTGGTTTACCACACCGCTAACCACACCCACTTTAGGCAGGACTAAAGACATATACGGCTGGACATAAAGACGTATACGTACGTAGGCAGAACTACGTCACTAGCCAGGCCCACTTTTGGGCCTGGCTAGGGGCGTTACGGGGGAAGGCATAAAAGACAGCACACAGGAAGCCTCGCTCTCTTTCCCTGGAGTTCGGCTTCCGGTCTGGCTGTTAGCTGAGAACTGCTTGGCTCCTCTGGGTTTGGTGTCTTGTGAGTAATTTTCTACATTAAATACTTAGCTTTACTGTCAGTAATTGTGTGTCGCGTATTGTTACAGCGTCCGTTGAAGCCTACAAGTAGCTAAAACTATACAATGAAAAAAAGAAAGCATCTTCAACAAATGTTGCTGGCATAACTGGGTACTGGTATGCAGAAGACTGCAGATAGATCCATGTTTATCACCTTGTACAAAACTTAAGTCCAAATGGATCAAAGATCTCAACATAAATCCAGCCACACTGAAACTTTTAGAAGAGAAAGTGGGAGATACTCTTCAACGAGTTGGTACAGGAGACCACTTCCTGAACATAACACCAGTGGTACAGACACTGAGATCGACAATTAACAAATGGGACCTCATGAAACTAAAAAGCTTCTGTAAGGCAAAGGACACAGTCAACAAGACAGAAAGGCAGTCCACAGAATGGGAAAAGATATTCACTGACCCCACATCTGAAAGAGGGCTAATCTCCAAAATTTACAAAGAACTCAAGAAGCAAGTCTCCAAAATACCAAAGGATCCAATCAAAAGGTGGGGTACAGAACTAAACAGAGAATTCTCAATAGAGGAGGCTAAAATGGCCAAGAGACACTTAAGAAAGTGCTCAACATCCTTAGCCATCAGGGAAATGCAAATCAAAACAACTCTGAGATACCATCTTACTCCTGTCAGAATGGCTAAAATAAAAAACACCGAAGACAATTTATGCTGGAGGATGTGGAGAGAGGGGAACACTCCTCCACTGCTGGTGGGAGTGTCAACTCATACAGCCACTTTGGAAAGCAGTATGGAGATTTCTCAGGAAAATGGGAATCAATCTACCACAAGACCCAGCAATTCCACTCTTAGGCATATATCCAAAGGAGGCAAATTCATACAACAAGGGCATCTGCTCCACTATGTTCATAGCAGCATTATTTGTAATAGCCAGAACCTGGAAGCAACCTAGATGCCCCTCAACTGAACAGTGGATAGAGAAAATGTGGTACATTTACACAATGGAGTATTACTCAGCAGAGAAAAACAATGGAATCTTGAAATTCGCAGGTAAATGGATAGCACTGGAATAAACCATCCTGAGTGAGGTAACCCAGTCACAAAAAGACAAACATGGTATGTACTCACTCATATATGGATTTTAAACATGGATCAGGAGAGTGCCAGTCTGCACTTCCACTGACAGAGAGTCTGGGAAACAGGAAAGAACCTAAAAGATATACATGGTACCCAAGAGAAGAGAAATTTGGCAAGATCCTCTGAACAGATGGGGAACAAGGCGAGGGATTGGAGGGAGGGGGACCTGGGAAATAGAGAGGGGGAGAAGTGGAAGAGAGAGTAGGGCATGGAGGAAGAGGAAGGTTGACTGGAGGTGGGTAGGATAGAGGGAAGAGGGAATCATAGGTTAGAAGACAGATCAGGCACCATTGTGACCTCTAGTGATCTAAACGGATGACACCAACTGGCAAGCTAAGCAATAGTGTAGAGACCACCTCGAATGCCTATTCCTGATAGTGAATTTGATGTCTATAACCATCCTGGAGCGTTTATCCAGTGACTGATAGAAGCAGAGGCAAACACCCACAGTTAAATACTGAACAGAACCCGAGGAACCCAGTGACAGAGAGAGAGGAGCAAAGAGCAAATCGGCAAAGAATGGGCTGGCAAAACCAGCAGAGACAGCTGATCTGAACAGGGGAGAGCTCTTGGACCCCATACCAACAGCTGGGAGGCCAGCATGGGACCGATCCAGACCCCCTGAATGTGAGAGTCAATGAGGAGGTCTGGGCTACCTATGGGGTCCTGAGCAGTGGATCAGTGTTTATCCCTCGAATACTAACAGACATCATGTGTCCATAACACAAAGAGGGTTGCTCTCTCTGCCTGGACTCTTAGGGAAGTGCCTGGACCCTACCTTGAATGATATGATAGACTCTAGATATCCCCTATGTGGAAGGAATTGGCAATAGGGTGGGAGGATGGGGGCATGGTGGGTGGGGGTGCAGGAGGAGGGGAGGGAGAGGGAACTGGGATTGACATGTAAAACAAGCTATTTAAAATTTTAAAAAATGTTAAAAAATAAAATAAAAAAAGAGCTAGTTGGGAACAAGTCTAAGCTAAGGCAAACCTTCCATAATTAATAAGAAGTCTTGTGCCATTATTTGGGATCTGGAAGTCCAAAAGAAAGTCCAAGTACAGCCTTCCAAACAGCATGGTATTGACATAAAAACAGACATGTTGATCAATGGAACTGAATAAAAAAAAAGCAGACATAAATCCACACACCTATGGACACTTGGTTTTTGATAAAGAAACTAGAAATATACAATGGGGGAAAAAGCATCTTCAATAAATGGTGCTGGTACAATTGAATGTTGACAGGTAGAAGGATGCAAATAGATATATCTGTCACCCTGCACAAAACTCAAGTCCAAGCAGATCAAAGATCTCAACCTAAAACCAGATACATAAAAACCTGATAGAAGAGTAAGTTGGGACTATCCTTGGATGCACTGGCACAGGAGACAACTTTCTGGAGAGAACACCAATAGCACTATCACTAAGATCAACAAATAATAAATGGGGCCTCACGAAACTAAAAAAAACTTCTGTATGGTGAAGGACACCATCAATAGGACAAAAATGCAGTCCACAGAATGAGGAAAGATTTTTACCAACTCCCACGACTATAATTTTGCTACTGTCATGAATAGTAATATAAAAATCAGCTATGCCAGATATCTGATAGTCAACCACAAAAGGGTTCTCAACCCTAAGGTTGAGAACCACTGATTAACAGTTTCCTAACTGATACAATGGTTATTTCTGAAAGTCCCCAGCAGTCTGTTTTCCATGTAGAGTTTATAGAATTGTTCAATAATTTCCCACTAATTAAAGAATCTGATCACAGGGGAAACAAAACCAATGTTGCAAGTACATTCTGCATAGTCTAGACTACTCTCCTGAGTGCACTTGGCTTACCTTGAGGGGAAGTGGAAGAGACATGCAAATGAACCTCCCATACATACATATTCATGAGCTCATGCATCCAGGTGGACAGGTGGGCGTGACAGAGCTGACTGGCTTTCCCTTGTGAGTAGATTCGTCAACATCAGATTCCTCAGTCTGCTTCTTGACTGTGGATGCAAGACAAGAAGCTATTTCAAACACTTACTGCTGTGACTCTCCAGAACAATGGCCTATAACCTTGATCCATCTTTCAAACTAAAATGAAGTTGAAGAGATCTTTCAACACCATGAAGATTACTTGAATAAAGTAAGAATACATGAGACCAAAAGAGAAGTAAGAACACTTCTTTATTGGAGACTAGGAATGTGACTTCTTTGAACAGGTATTTGTTTGCTTGTCTATTTATTTTTTATAGTAAGCCAGGAAAAAAACTGCCTTGGGATTTCAAACCTAGAAGCAAGATACTCCCTGGAGACAAGGATAGACAATACTTCTTGATGCCTAAGCCCTTATGTGATGGAGACCCTTAAAGGGGGAGAGGGAACCCTTGCTCCGTTCCCTTTGGAGACCTCCACCACTTACTGCATCATGAGCTTTGTGTGGTGGTGTCCTTGTTTGCTTTGTTGCTGTTCCCACATTCAGAAGCAAATCTCTCAGAAGATTCAGCATTATCTTGGTATTATTCTGGGGGCGGAAGTTTGGGCTTAAGCTACTAAACTGTAAACATAATCTTGTGTGAAAGCTGTGAGTGGAAAATAATTAGCAGCTCCTTCTTGAGATGATCTTAACCAAGGAGCTTATAAAACATGATTTGTGATATATAAACAACCAAGACCCCTACACACTTTTTTTTTTGCCTCTGTAGTATTTCCTTTCAGTTGGTTGTATTGTTGCTGGGGATTTATCAGAATTTTTCCTCCTAATTCTGAGGGCTGGTTTTCTCAGTTTTTTTAAATAAAGCTCTCAAAATCTTTTTTTAAAAAAAGAGTCACATATTGGAATTAACTTCGGAAGTTAAGATGATGGTTGGGGAAGTAGCAGCAGGTAAGGTAACACCTGCCAAGCCCAATGACGGTTCAAATGCATGATTGAGAGAATCACTACTGCACGTGTCCCCTGACCTCTGCTTGTGCACTGTGGTGTATACACACACACACATATAAAAACATAATAAAAATTTAAAGATGGCATATGGGACTGGAGAGATGACTCAATGGTTAAGAACACCGGCTGCTCTTCTAGCGGATACAGATTCAATCCCCAGCACCCACATGGCAGCTTCTCGCCATCTGTATCTGCAGCCCCAGGGAATCCAAAGTCCTCTGCCCACTTCTTGCCCTGTCTGCACACCCAGGCAAAACACCCATACACCCAAAATAAAAACAATCTCAAAGGTGACACACAGAGGATGGAAAGGCTGGGCCGTGAAGACGGCACACTGTGTGCTGTGAGTTTCTGGCAGGCCACATGCAGCATGAAACACGCAGCCAAAGCAGACGTGGAAATGTATTGTGTAAGACCCTCCCAGTCATCTTGGACGTAACACTTCCCACTTCCAGCTTGGTTCATTCCCAGGACCCTGTGTCATATCAGTTGACACGGAAAACACTTGCTAGTTGCCTCACCAACAAATACTCTTTACTTATTAGGAGAAGAGGGGTTTGTTTTTGCTGTTTTTTGAGGCTGTGATACAGTAGCAATGCCTCATTCTAAAAGATGACATTTGAGCTAGGCGGTGGTGGCGCATGCCTTTAATCCCAGCACTTGGGAGGCAAAGGCAGTCGGATCTCTGAGTTCGAAACCAGCCTGGTCTACGTGAACTAGTTCCAGGACAGCCTCCAAAGCCATGGAGAAACCCTGTCTTGAAAAACCAAAAAACAAAACAACAGCAAAAAACAAACAACAACAACAATTAAAAGAAAATGACATTTGCTTGTTTCACTGGCTTCCAGGAGTGACTTGTCACAAATGTCTAATGAAAACACAATTACCAGGTTTCTGAGAAAGCTTTTATAATATAGGCACAGGCTTTTCCGTTTCTCTTCTTGAGGTGGGCTGTGTTGACTAGAGCCATGGTGGCAATGCTGAGACTAGAATCACAAGGCATCCTGAATCTGGGATCACTCTGCTGGCCCCCACTGCCTGCCTCTGGATTTTTTGTGATATGAGAGAAAATTAAATCTTCATCCTCTTTTTAAAAAATACTCAAGTAAAGAATAATTTTTAATTTTAAGCTTTATTTATTTAATGTCTATAGGTGTTCTGCCTGCATACATGGCATGGATGACGTATCCGTGGAGACCAGAAGAGGGCACTGGATCTCCTATGACTGGAATTACAGATAGTTGTGAGATACAATGTGAGTGCTAGGACTCAAACCCTGGTCTTCTGGAAGGAAGAGTAACTACTGCTCTTAACCAGTGAGCCATCTCTCCAGGCCCCAACCTCCATTCTCTTTAACCACAGATACTGTTTGATTTAGTTTTGTTGCATTCACTTACCCACAATCTCTGTTGCATAGACATAACTGACAAGCAAATTACCACCAATTTCCAACCCTTAGTTGGTAACCAGCAGCACAAGATCCTTTATATGAAAATAAAAATTTAAACCCCTAAGATGATACGTGGTGTGTTTGTACATGTTTATGTCTCTGTGTGCATGTATGTCTTCATGCATGTGGAAACCAAGAGTGACTCTTCCTCAATTGCTATGCACCTTAGTTTTTCATGCAAGGTCTTCTCGAGTCTGCAGCTCACTCATTTGGCTAGGTTGACTGGCTTTAGTAAGCGCCAGGAATCCTCTGGTCCCTGCCCCACCGTACATGGGTTCAGGGGACCTCATGCTTGCATGGCAAGCTGACGGGGACATTTTCCCCAACTTCATCTGGAAAGATTTTTCTTTAGTCTTTAAACATACAACTAGAGAGCAGTCAGGAAAAGAAAACATGGTGACAGCATGAGAAAGGGTTACTATGGTCTTCTTTCTGAAGGCTGTGAGAGGTCCCTTCAGACTATGACTTCACTGGGCGTTGATCAATGGCCTCCCAGGTCCCTTGTGGTAACAGTATGGTCTTTCTAACAAGCCACATGCCATACAATGTTTGTAGACATGTATAGTGCCAACATGTCTTAATTAGGTTTTCTATTGCTGCTACGAAACAACATGACTGAAAAGCAAGTTGGGGAGGAAGGGGTTTATTTGGCTTACACTTCCTCATTGCCTTTCATCACCGAAGGAAGTCAGGACAGGAACTCAGACAGGGCAGGATCCTGGAGGCAGGAGCTGATGCAGAGGCCATGGAGCGGTGCTGCTTACTGGTTTGCTTCCATGGCTTGCTCAGCCTGCTTTCTTATAGAACCCAGGACCAGCAGCCCAGGGATGGCCCCACCCACCACAGGCTGGTCCTCCCTGGTGATCACTAATTGAGAAAATGCCTTACAGCTGGAACTCATGGAGGCATTTCCTCAGCTGAGGCTCCTTCCTCTGATGACTCTAGATTGTGTCAAGTTGACACACAAAACCAGCCCATACAGAAGGAAACTGGGGTAAGCAGAGAGATATTTTAACTGGTTCTTATTTAAGTGGATTAACCAGAAGACACCAGCTACAGAGGCATAAGTCTCCTCACTTCAGTATGGGGTGGGAGGTGGGGGAGGGGGGCTAGGGGACTTCCTGTGAGCAGCCCAGTTGGAAGGAATGAATGATTCACTTCCCACACTCTGCTTGGAATACTCCCTGTCTACCTGAGCTGGGTCAAAATGTTCTGTGATGGAGGAGCATCCCCAGTGCGAGCTGAAGGGGGGCATTCTGCAAGTTGTATGTCATCGCCTGAGCAGCCTATTTAGCGTTATGAACCTATAATCCAAGTGAAGACTGATGGATTACCCAGAGCTATCCACTTTACAGCACTTGACAAACCTGAAGGCTGTCACTGCTTTCTTGCCATTCAGATGCATCCTCTTGGTCACCCTGGTTTGAGGGGATTTCTCAGTACTGTCTCCTGTTAGACACAGTAGCCTTGCTGTGTGCACAGCTGTATAGACAGCTCTCCTAGTGTGACCCCCACTCCAACCCACACCATGCTTTTCCAGAACTTCAGGCTGGGGCCTAACAGGTCTTCAGCATAAGAGAATGCAAAAGCCAAGTAAAGAAGTGAGCTTTTTTTTTTTTTTTGGAAAAGAGAGGAGGAGAGGGAGAGAGAGACAGACACAGAAACCAACAGACAGACAGAGACACAGAGAGACTTACAGACAGAAACAGACATCTGTCATGTGTGGTTGACCATGTCTTTGGTTTAACCTTTACCTGTTTGGTAGGATGATTTTAATGCTACATTCTCAAAGTAGAAGCCTGAAAACTACACTTCCCAGATGCCCTTGCAGCTAGATACAGTCATGTGCTCAGGGGATCACCATTTGGACACCTTTAGTTATGATTGATTTATGGGTGAGCTACAGTGTAAGAGGCTTCAGGGTCCCATGTGCTGGGCTATCAGGTAGGTGATGAGAGGCAGTGCCTACGGGTTGGGTGGAGCCTAACTCCCAAATAATGGGATTTGGATGCTCAGTGAGCTTGTCATTAAGGGGTCCTGCAAGGGACAGAAGAGTTGAGAGAACTGTTCTTATGTCTCTGTCAGAACCCATGAAGAAAAGTGACCTCTGCCAACACAGGATGTACATCTGCTCTCAGGAGACTAGCAAGCAAGTGATAATCTCACTGAGGTTACTCAACCTTTGGCTCCTTGCCTTCCTGCAATGGCACTGTTAATGAAAGCCTCACCAGGGTCTGCAGGAATGCTTTCTTCTTCCGGTTGGAAGGTGGGGCCTTCTAAGTTTACCCTCTTTAATTAGTAGTACATGAGCTTTTAGTGGACAACACTCATGATCAAGCTTGTTTGTTTAATTTAAATGGTTGAGGGGGGACATTCAGAGGCCAAAGAAGGATGTTGAGGGCCCTGCTCTGCCATGGTCTGCCTTGTTCCCTTAAGACAACATCTCTCACTGGACCTGGAGCTAGGCTGGCAGCCCCAAGTCCCAACAATCCTCCTGTCCCCGCCCTCCACAGTGATGAGCTTACAGAGCGAGCACCTCCACTCTGGCTTTTTATGTGGGTGCCGTGGACAGAACCCAGGTGTTTAAGCTTGTACAACAAGCACCCACAATTACCCACTGAGTGGTGCCTCCAGCCCTGTGAGGTTCTTGTGAAAGAGGCCCCAAAGAGCCCAAAGGCAGAGGGTAAAGCAATCAAGACACAGACTAGATGTTTCTTCCAGCTCTCGGTTTGGATAAGTTTTGAACCAACAAGGTTTTTAAAGATACTAGAACACGTCAGGTCTTTAATGTTTCTCTGCTGCAGCAGGAGCGGGATAAATCTTTTTAAGATTTCAAATGCAATTTTTCCTAAATGAAGAAAGTCTGGAACCATATGGCAACAAGTTTCAAAATCTGTTCATGTGCAAATGTCATGATAAAAATGGGGCTGCGGAGTGTTCATGGACAGTCGGGCCACATTCTTCGAAAACAGGAAGGAAATCTCCTGAATTCATCTTGTCATTTTATGGGGAGCCTGAGTGGATCTGACCGGGCAAACCACTGCTCCTCTCAAGCACAACAAAAACAGTATTGTTTGCTACATATGCTGAAAAAGGACTTAAGACAGAGGGATGCAGAAACCATGCTTGGATTCCAGCTTTATCTACGACATGACCTTGGGAAAGTCATCTTACCTCTGTGACCTTTTTGTTTCCTCATTTGTTAAAGAAGGGAGAGCAGTTTCAACTTGAGGAGGGGGGAAGCATCCTGAAGAATATAGTATAACATCAGCAACACCTGGGGTTGTACGTGCTAAGGACTGAAAATAAGGGAATCTCTAAGTGATGGAGAAGGTCAGCTTCCATCGCTACCCCAGCCCATATCATGCATGACATCACTCATCACAAGAGCTCACTAAGTAGCCCTCCGAGGTGACAGCCGGTGATTCCTCCTGCCTTCATCGGTGAGCACGGAAAGAATATGGTCAAGGTGTTTTTTGAGTTCTGCCATACTACCTTTTCATTTGGAGCCGAAACAGGAGGACAAGTTGCCCTTTGAGCAATATGATTAATTAAGCTTTTATTGTGAATGGTAGCAGATTGGAGGCCTGAATCCAATCAACAAAGAGCCTAGCTGGAAAAAGCATTCATTGGAAAGCTTTCTAGGCAGTTGCTCACAGAAACAAGTTCAAATCAGAAGACGCTGCTCGAAAATCATGAGTTTAGTCACAGCTGAAAGATATAAGAATTGCTAAATAAATTGCACAAAGAAAATCCAGTTGATGGTCCAGGAGAATGGATGTTTGCAGAGCGCAGTCTCTGAAGGGTTTTGTTTTGCTTCTTGGAAGCCATCCTTGCTGTTGTCTCTTCAGCTGGAGGTTCCTTCTTTCCCCTTGAGAGCCTGGAGCAGAGAGTCTACCAACTTAAAAACAATATATTGGAAATAGTTATGAACACACATGAGCGATGGGGAAGCCAAGTGGTACCCATCCCCAGCAGACCACCAACATCAATTGGCTCAAAGATAAATTCTTGGGTCAACTCTCAAATCTTCTGACTTGGGCATTCTGGTGAGGAGCCCTGTGCTCTGCCTTTACAAGTCTTCTAGGGGATTCTAAATGCAGTGTTAGAGAAGCACTCACTTCCTAGAGTAACTCCTCCTACCACCTTAGAACCGCTCACTTGGGGGTCCTCATGTTATGCCTACTAAACTTGTTTTCTGATCTAATTTCTTGGGTGTGTTTTAACCATTGTTCAAAGTTAAGGGCTTTATTTATTCGACTAGCACTGGGGAAGAAGATGAGAGAACTATGGAATGCTATTTTTTCCTGCCCGTACTGCACTAGTCAAACCTCGGTTCTGAATCTACAAGCTGAACCAGGAAAGGAGAGCAGTGTGGGCAATGCAGGAAGAGTTGTTCATCTGGGTCTCCACCCAATGCTAAATTTATTGCTATTTGCTTGCTGTGGCTTCTGTTTGGTTTCACAGAGAATAAAGGGAAAATGGCTACAGTTTGTTTGTTTGGTTTTGTTTTTTCTTCCTTTTTTATTTAAGTTAAAAAACAAACTTGTTTCACAGGTAAATCCCAGCTCCCTCTCCCTCCCCACCTCCCCCCACCCTCCCCACCAGATCCCCCAGTCCCCCACCCAATCCCCACTCCGATCCTCAGGGAGGGTGAGGCCCTCCATGGTGGATCTCCAGAGTCTGTCATTTCAACCAGGGCAGGGCCTAGGCCCTCCCCCAAGAGTCCAGGCTGAGAGAGCACCCCTCATTGTGGAATGGGCAGCCAAAGTCCATTTGTATGCCAGGGATAAATACTACCCAAGGCCCCATAGATTACCTAGACCTCCTCACTGACACTCATATTCAGGGGGTCTGGATCATTTACATGCTGTCCACCCAGCCATCAGTCTGGGGTCCAAGAGGTCCCCCCCTTTGGCTACAGTTTTTTAAAAACTTTATTCCCCTTCAGCAAGTTTTACCCAAAGAGATGAGAAGCTAGGTCTTATTATTTTAAACCCAGACAAGAGTTTATTACTCTTGGCAGGATTCTCTGGCAATTTAGTTCCCCAGCTTCCAGACGGGTCACTTGTTTCTAATAAGGGAGGTATGCTATTCTTAGGCAAATGGTACCTCCTCTACAGCTCTGGCTGTGTGCAGCAGATGCTAATGAGCCCTGGGCTGGGGATGGAATCCCACACAAGCCAATTAGCTTTGCCATCCTCCCTGGGGACCAAGACTGCAACTACCTGACAGTCAGCCTTTAGAGTCCACCATCTCTCCTGCCAGATGACCCAGTGGCCATAAAAGGAGCCTGCTGAGGATGAGCTCCCCATCCCACACCATACCCCTCAAAAGGTTGAAATGAAAGTTTCAGCTCAACTCAAGGAAGAGAAAGGAGTACGAAGGAAAAGGGGAGAAGAAAGCTGGGTTCACCAAGCATCAGGGTCCAGCAGACAGAGATGCTGAGGGGGTCTCACTCTTCCTGTACAGAAGTTGTTGGGATCATTGGAGGACTATCAGTTATTCTTGAAGAAAGTAGTTTTCTATCTTAAACTCCCTTGGGAAGCACTCCAGTTTCCTTTCTGTTACTATCATAAAATACCCTGAGTGTGATGCCTAATCTTGGTTGTCAACTTGACACACCTAGGCAGAGGAACCCTCAGTTGAGGAACTGCCTTTATTAGAATGATGTGTGGACATTCGGTGTAGGGCAATTTCTTGTTTGCTTGTCTATGTAGGAGGGAACAACTCACTGTTGTCAAAGCACCCCTGGGCAAGTGAGGCTGGACTGGGTAAGAAGAGTTGCTGAACAGGAGCCTGGAAGCAACCCAGTGAAGTTGTGTGCTTCCTCTGTGGTCTCTTCATTCCTGCATGCAGGGTCCTGCCTTGGCTTTCCCAGTGATGGACCTATAAGCCAAACAAGCCCTTTCCTTCCCTTTTCTGAGTTGCCTTTGGTCATGGTATTTATCACCACAACAAAAATCAAACCAGGATACCAAAAATAAAAGCAACTTGTGGAGAAAAGTTCTATTTTAGCTCACAATTCCCGGTTACAGTCCATCATAGCAGAGAAGTCAAGACAGTCATTCAGTCAGTCACATCACACCCACAGTCAAGAGCAGAGAGAAATAAATGTTTGCTTGCTTATGTTCAGTTTGTGTTCAGGAACCCCCTCCTAGGGAATAGTGACACCCACAGTGGGCTGGGTCTTCTCACATCTATTAACCCAATAAGTACAATCATTCACAAACATATCTACAGGCCAACCCAATGCAGACAATTCCTCACTAACACTTTCCCCAAGTAATTCTAGATTGTGTCAAATTGACAAAGCTAACACTATCACAGGGATATTTCAACCATTAAGGAGAAAACACATCCTATGCCTTAGACTGATTTTATTGGACAATAAGAGGGGCCCCTTTAAAATGAGGACAAAAGCTGGACATGGGGGTGCATGCCTGTCATATCAGCTGCATTGGAGACTGACAGCAGGAAGATTACCAGCGCAGGGCTGCTTGGACAGACTTTACCTCAAAAAAAAAAATAGTGAAGGCAAACTTACATATCCATTTCCTTCCCTGTCAACCTCTGGAAGCTCATCCCCAACCCCTATGTTTATGTCCACAAATAAAAGGAAAAGCCCAAGGCTGCAAAAAGTAATGGCCAGGGTCTACATTACAAAGAAATCCTTCACCGATTATTAGAACATTCTACAATCATGTCCTGGATATGCCCTGAACCCGACCTCATGCTGTAGAAACTAAGGGATGGAAATGCCATTACTTTCAGGATAGCAATTAGAAGACTGGGGAGAAAAGAATGGGCAACAGAAAGATGAACGTTAACTCGAACATGCCCGGCCGTTTGTGCGAGCAAAGCTCTGGGGCCTGTCTGCTCTGATCCAGTAGTCTACAGTCAATGCACATTCCCACACACCACTCTGAATTAAGTAAATATCTTTGCCATCAAAACATAGGAAATTCTCAGTTTCTAACTACAGCTCTGGGTGAGTTGGCAACGGGACGCGGTGTTTTATGGCTGCCGTGAGAGAGGAGAGCATGTGTGGAGAGTTTTTAATTTTAAGCAGAGCCCTTCAGCTTCTGAAGGCTCCTGCAGCTAATTCTGTTGGTTCTCAGCTAGATTATTAAACTTCTTTCTGACACTGCGAGATACATGGGTTGCTAATAGACCAGTTCTCTCGGCACTCTTTCTTTTTTGAATAAGATGATTATAAAATGGTTTCAATTCTCACAACAACATATTTTCATTCAGGCAAAAATGTCCAAATCAACTGGTTTGCTCTCGGTGAAGACTGAACTCACTGTTAAATTTGTTTTTCACAGTTCTGGGAACTGTATCCAAGAGAATAGGATGGATGTGTGAGATAGCTAATTATTCATCTTGAGGTGGAATTAAACAGGACGGGCTTTTAGACTAATTATTCATCTTGAGGTGGAATTGGGCTTTTAGACTTGAGGAAAGAAAAACAGGGCATAAAAAGCTAGATCAGAAAGCAAGGCCTGGCTAAATAAAAAATATCCTTTGTAGTGTCAGGAGAAGCAGCAGCTGCTTCCCATGACTGCCTCCTCAATCCATCCTATAATATTGCCACACGGAGACCCCTGTGAAGCTCTTCTTTCATAATTCCGAAAATCTTTGGATATTCTGCTGAATACGGGACACTGGGGGCCCTTGAGAAAGGAATTGAACTTTTAAGGAGTTCGATGACTGGCAGACCCAAGTTTGGGGGACAAGCATCTCCAACTGGGCACTGCTGTTTGCTTAGGAAAATGAAACACAGTTGGAGAGATGGCTCAGGAGTGAAGAACACCACAAGTGTTTGGGTCCCAGCACCCTCAGGGAGGCTTACAACCATCTGTAACTCCAGTTCCAGGGGATCCAACCAGCCCTTCTGAGCTGCAAAGCCAGGCACAGGCGGTGTAAGAATAGGCAGGCAAAACACCCGTACACCTAAAATATAAGTGTATCTTCAATTCCTAAAGAACATTAAGCACTGGAAAATAACAGCATTGTTATTTGTGGCCAGAGTGTTTTATGAATGAGCTACAAGAGCACACACATTTTGAAGCCTGTAGAAATTTATCTTTGAGGGCTTTAGAGTTTTGTATTCTTCAAATAAATGAGAACTGTGCAATTATTAAACATCCACTCCAGGAAAACCCTTGGTCAAGAAAAAGTGTGGCCAGGTGGGGGCTGAGAAGTCAGTTACAAGTTCACAGCACCTTCGGGAGCAAATGGGCCTTTGACAAAAGGGGAGCTGACCGCCTACTACCTGTAACCTGACTGCAAAGATCAGACCTTTGTGCACTGTCGGAACAGGTCTCTTTACTGGTTGATCTGATCTAGATTCTTTTTTCTTCTGAATAAAGGCTACTACAGGCTTTCTCTCTAGGTGCTTCATGCACCAAAAGAGACTTTACTTTGCATTCACCATCAAAACTGCCCCAGTGGACGGGTGGGAAGTGAAGCAAAAAGAGCCCTCCAGAAGGGCTAGCCTTTGGAAAATGTCATCAAAGAGCCAACCACGTGACAGAGTGAGGCAGGGAGGCCTCTGAGCTCTGTGACTGACAAGCAAGTATTGCCCACGTCCAGGAACAGCAAAGCAAGGCCACCTTCTCCTTCCTGCATCCCATGTGTTAAGATGGGTGGGTACCATTTCCTGGGAGAGGATCTACAGGGCAATACTGTTCCAAGCAGATGGAACTCAGACTGTTGCTCTGGTATCATCAGTTAAAAGTGGTGTGTCTCATTATTCCTGGGGAGTGGGTGGTGGGTGGGTTGGGGGGTCGATGGGAAGCATGGGAGAATGGGAGGGCCAGGGGATGGATATGTAAATAAGAGTGTTTCAAAAAATAAAAAAGGAAAGAGAGAGAGGAAGGGAGGGAAGATTGAGACTAGGCTGGAAAAAATTGATATGATTCAGTTTCCTTGCCCTCAAAATTCAGGGGCTGGGGTTACACTTAGTAGTAGAGCATACTTTTAGCATGTACAGGCACTGGATTCATTTCTAGCATAAAAAACACAGATTAATAGAATTTCCAAGAGTGTGAATGTTAATGAGGTAAATTACTTATCCTAGTAGTTGGATTATTGTAGGGGTTTGGTCACATGAGTGAATACCCCAAGAGAGCATCTGCTGGAGCTGAGCTATAGACAATTGTAATGTGCCAGATGTGGGTGCTGAGAGCTGAACTTGTGTCCTTTGCAAGAGCAGTATGTACTCTTAATCGCTGAGCCATCTCTCTACCCTTTAAGGAAGGAAATACTGACTTTGCTCATGGCTTCAAAGGCTTCCTCTGTCCATCACGGGAGGGCGTGGCCGAGCAGCAGCAGCAGGCCAGGAAGTAGAGAAAGAATGCTTACACCCTGTTATTTACTTTTACCTTCTACTGTACACATGTTCAAAGTTGGCAGCATTGTCAGCTGCCTTGCTTCCCACAAAATCCAGACTCACTCATTTACTATCTTTGTACCTGAACATTATCACGTTAGTGTTATTGTATTCCAGTAAGTCAGTTGGCTCCAGATAGACTCCCTGAGTTTTGAATATTAGAATGGAGCTCAAATCACTCAATCTTGGGATAAATAGAAGAAAAAATTCCAACTTTGTATATAAACAAGAACTCTCTCCTCTGAGAAGAAATCATCTGCAAATAGGACCTTTCTTTCTCTAGTGCACATCAGAAATGATCGTATCTATAAACCCACAAGAATTTATTCAAATACTGTCTGTGGGCTCACCACCAAAATACCCTGGTAAGAAGTAGGGGTGGTGGGCTACGCTTGCAATCCTAAACACTCAGAGGCTGTGGCAGAACAATGAGAGGCCAGCCTGGGCTACAAATAAACAAAACTTCTCATGAAAACCATAGTCACCGTTTCAAACGAGCACAATTACTAATAAAACTCCCCAACTGAACATTGAAACTTAATTTTTTCTTCTAAGAGAAAAACTATTCTATCAAAAGAAAGGACAGCATGAAACCTGAGTAATACTTTGCTTAGCACACATAGGTGCTGGCTTAGTGTAGCAACATAAAGACTTCCTGCCATGGTTAGTTTACATTGTCAACTTGATTGGATCTATAATCGCCTAGGGACATACCTCTGGGCATGTCTGTAAGGCTATTTTCCAAAAAGCTTACCAGGTGGGAAAACCCACACTGAATGTGGGTGGCATCACCCCAAAGGTTGGGGTCCCAGATGGACTGAGGGGGAAGAGAAAGTAAGCAGAGTACCAGCATTATCTCAGTATGGCCCAGCACCTTCCTGATCTCACGCCTTCCCGCTCTGGCAGACTGTACCCTCAGGCTGGGAGCCACAGCAAACCCAGCTTTTCTCAAATTGCTTTTGATCAGGTATTTCTGTACAACAATGGAAAAAGTAACCGATATGCACAATAAGTAGTTTATGTCCCTCCCCCTCAACTCTCCCTAAATGCCTTCCTCCCCTTGTCAGCAGCCTGATAATTTCACCTTTGAATTTTGAACATCACTAGAGTAGCTGCCATCCTCAGAATCCCAAGCAGGCTGCTGCTGAGGTGGCTGATGGCTTCTGTTCCCCATGGCTTCCAGGATGTCCAGCAAATTCCTTGCTGCTTCTTCCCAGCGGATGTATTCCCTCAGCTGTTCCTTCAGGTCATCTCCCTCAGACGCGCCCAGGGACGGGGACTCATCCGTGCTCTTTTTCCCCATCAGGTGTCCTATAAAAACAGAACAACACCAGGAGGCCCAAGTTCAACCGAGGGGAATGAAGGAAGGAGCGACCGAGATGGACACCAGTAGGGTGGGCGCTGCTCTCCGGTGGAGGCATAATAGACAGCGATATTTCACTACTAGGAGTTAGTCTATACGTAGCACACAGACTTTACTTTCTGTTCAAAATGCAGAAAACCCAGGCCTGTGTGTGACTCAGGGGCTCTGGGTTTGGCCCTAGTACCTCTGCTGACTAGTGGGGTGACCTCAGACAAGTGCTGTAGCACCCCAGCCATCAGTGTGATTAACTGTGAAAGGAATGGGGAAGACCGAATCACACATAAAAGGCTTCCAAATGTAAAGTCCTAGCAATTCCGTGTGTCCAACTGAAAGGCAGAATCCTCACGTCTCCCACCACCAATTTCAAGTTTCTGCTGAAAATAAAAGTCTTGGTGTGTTTCTTTGTATGATTTAAAAAAAATGTTCCCTTTCTCTTATCTGTAATACAATTGCACCAAAGGAATCTTTCATTTAAAGTTTCTCTGAATTTTAGCTGAAATTGAATCTAGAAAGCTCACCTGGAAGCGATGGTGGGTGAAGAGTGTAATGAAAAACAGGGTGGAAAATAAGTTCTGACTGATGTTCAGCAGCCACATCGATTTGGAGGTTTCTTTGGGGTCTCCGAGAACCTCTCAGCGGTTCTAGGCACGTTTGCCCACCTTGTGGATTAATTAGTTAATCCTATGAGGGAGGCCAATGTACAAAAAACAGGGATATTCACCTATCTAAGAAGTGGGTGGTCAAATCCAGGGCTGCACTTGCTTTTTACATTTATTTAGCTCGCACACGTGTGTGTGTGTGTGTGTGTGTGTGTGTGTGTGTGTGTGTATGTGTGTGTGTGTGTGTGGTGTGTGTGTATGTGTGTATGCGTGTGTGTGTGTGTGGTGTGTGTGTGTATGTGTGTGTGTATGTGTGTGTGTGTGTGGTGTGTGTGTGTATGTGTGTGTGTGTGGTGTGTGTGTATGTGTGTATGTGTGTGTGTGTGGTGTGTGTGTGGTGTGTGTGCATGAGAGAGAGAGAGAGAGAGAGAGAGAGAGAGAGAGAGAGAGAGAGAGATCACAATGCATGTGTGAAAGTCAGAGGACAACTTGTGGGAGTTGGCCTCTTCTTCCACCATATGGATTCCAGGGTTTGAACTCAGCTCGTCTAACTTGGTGCAAACCCCAAATCCACATATTTTTATTTTGTTTGTTTGTTCATTTGTCTGTCTGTTTGCTTGCTTTTAAGACTGGTCTTACCATGTAGTCCCAGCTGGCCTCAAACTCACTAAGACCTGCTTCCCTCTGCCTCCTGGGGTCTGAGATAAAGAGGTGCACCACCACACCCAGCCAGGTCCAAGTTCATCCATTGGATGGACACACTTGGCATTTCTCCACTCCCAGTTTCTCTGACACAGAGCTTTATTCTATTAATAAGCCTTTGGTGCTTTTGATTTAAAGTGTATAGAAGAATACAAGTCTCGTGGTTGCAGCACTAACTGGCATTAGACTCCGTCAAGGGAAACACTGCAGGCATAAAACTTGAATGATTGTCTATGGCTTAAAATGGAAAGGGGCCCTTTGCAGCAGCACTGTCCACCTTCTTTATGTCTGTCGTGTGAGCTGCAATTGGTGGTTTGCAGAATGCTTGCTCGTGGATACTTCCATTTAATTGACACACAGTAGGGTGGTGAAATGGGACTTGCTGAAACCTTCTAGACATAAGCAAAGGTTCCAGGACCATAACAAGGCTGGAGTCCAGTTTCTAACACATTATATTGTTTTGAAGTGTCTTTTAAGTTCCCAAGGTTTTAAAACAGCAGAGTGTCATCCTGGGATCTGCAAATAAGAATATGATTTCCAAATAGCTAATGTCCTAAAGAGGAGCAAGGATCATATATCAACATAACACGTGACTTGAAAAATTTATTTCAGCTAATATTAGGCAGTCTTAAAATGAGATTTTGAGAGAGCAAGGATCGTATCTCAGTACATAATGGTATCGTGTGAATTGAAAAAAATTAATTAGTGTTAGCCAGTCTTCCAATGAAATTTTGAATGAGTACTTGCCCCTCAGGAGACACCATGCTGGTTTAAGAGCTGTCCCAAATGAAGGATTAGAATCTTACATGGTTTCAGTCATCTGATAGGTCAACCTGGTGCCCAGTTGTCCACTAAACGGCCATCCATTTGGCCCTCATGGTGATTATGTTGTACAACTTCCCAGGAAGCTGATGTGTCATCGTCAGCTTTAGTTACATGGAGGAAATTGAATCATGATGACTAGAAGACAGCATTGGAACCCTGATGCTCACAGTAATTACCTCAGTCACTCTTGGAATCTCTGATTGCCTGTCATCCAGTTAGGATGTTGAAAATGAGAAAGGAGTCATTGCCAATAAAGCAGTGGGGTGATGGAGATAATTTTATGAAGACCTCCATTTTGCTATGCTGGGATACATTTGTGGACTTTTCTCTAATGGGAAAATAGAGTCACTGCCCATCTTATTATTGATCTAACATAGATCCTGATGACACTAGACTGAATGTCAACACTTGCCTGCTGGCGATGTACTGTTCTACTGCCCACTTCTACACACACACACACACACACACACACACACACACACACACACACACACACGGGTTATTACAGGAAGTGCGCCATCTATAACATCCCAGGGAAGCACACATTCCCTGGGTCTTATTTCATTTTTGAACTCACTACTGTCAACCAAATCATCATCCCCATGGCAACATGGACAAGATACCCACTTCCACTTCATCTCCTATGATCATCTATCACACATCCACAAAATAATGGAGATCTCAATATGGAGAAAAGACAAGTATTTAAAAAATAATAATAAAGCTTTGCTTTGAATGGAACAAAAGGCTTTGTGCCTTAAAATTGTATAGTATCCCACTAAAGGGCAGGTTTGAGATGCAAATTAATTTCTTCACTGTCAAAACTAGAAGACAATCCTAATTTGAGAAAATATCATTTAGATATAAAGTATTGTGTACTTCCAAGAAATCGTATTTATGGGGTAGAGGAGATGGCTCAGTGGCTACAGCACTTGCCAATGCAAGCATGAGGACCAGACTCCAGATCCTCAGAACCCATGTAAATGATGAGTGAGCCCAGTGGCCTGCTGGTCATTCCAGCCTCAGAAGATGGAAGAAGCTGGCTAGAAAAACTAGCCACATCCGGCAGCTCTGGGTCTGATGGAGAGAACCTGCCTAAATGAATAAGGTGAAAGAGCAATCGAGGATGATTCTAGGTATCACACACACACACACACACATACACACACACACATGAAAATGGAAGATGGAAAAACAGTCTTTACAAGCGCATACTGTAAATCTCAGTCTTGGATGTAGCCCTGTGGTGAGTGTGAATCTACTTCTCATTCAGTGATGTCACCCAGTTCAGCTTCCCAAGTCCCGCTCCACATCAAAGTTAGAGCCCAAACCAGGAGCATTTTCAGGGGAAGCACAGAGACTAGTCACTGGTTTTTGTGTTGACTCTATTTCCACCATACGCACAAACTATTCCTATGAACACGAGGCCCTGCGGAAGTGTGAGCAGTTTCCAAGCTATTGATTCATTCTCCATTGCTTCTCTCAGCTGGGAAGAGTAACTCCCTGAGAGACCTGTGCTGACAATTTCCTCGTGGACAATAATAGAGGTTTAGTCCTACGGTGTCACTAAGTCAGGAGATGGCACATGCTTGTGATCCCAGCACCACAAAAGCTGAGGCAGGAGGGTCACAAATGCAAGGTTAGGCTGGGCTACATCGTGAGGCCGGCTCAGAAAAGACAGGTGGCATAGCTCAGTGACAGAGCACTTGCTAGTATGGGCTCACTCTTAGCATCACCAAAATTCAGACAAAACAGAACAAAAAGCAACCCTGAGCTATCTTCCTTTAGGAATTGGAGAGAATGAGCATTGTTTGGGGATATTTTAAAACTAAAATTAAATCCCACATCACTCATCCTTGTTGATGCTCTCCCAAAATGTAGTTGTTTTTTTCCCTCAAACACAAGTGGCCTGACTGGGCTTCATAGCAAGTTGGGGGATAGGCTGGGCACCTTAGGCAGACTCTGCCTAAACCATATAGAACCCCAGTGGGGAATGGGATTGTAGCCCAATATAGAGGGCTTATTACTAATGTGCATAAACCCTGCATTCCATCCCCCACAGTTAGAAATATTAAATTGAGAAGAGTACATTTGAAAATAAAATTTTAAATGTTTGTGGAACCACTGTGGAGGGTGGCTAAGGGAAGTACCTTAAATATTCCAGGACAGGTGTGCCCCTAAAGACAGCTGGTCAGCTTTAGCTTGGCTTGCACCAGAGACATGGCACTAGATTCCTACCCACCTCTGCTGTGCTTTTAGTCTTCAAGGGTTAGCTGACAGATCATGAACTGTTCTCGTGTGGTAACAGAGAGAGAAATAATAGAGTTGGGAGTATCCATTCTCCCTCCCTGCCCACTGGCTGGTAGCTGGATCATACAATGGCCTTTTAATCTAAGCCGTGAGAATCCCTTCCTAAGATTTACCAGCTCTAACTTTGGATTCTTCCGCACCTTTTCAGTATTCTTCATTCAGGAAGTGCAGGTTTCTCTGCTTCTCCCATGCTCATCTGCACTCCGTTCTCTGTTCAGACCCCTGGAATTCTAGTGGCCCTCCACAAATTCTTTCATCCCTGGGATGTTGATCAAGACACCCCGCCCCAAACTGTAGGATGGCAACCCAGTGCTCTTGACCTCTCTGGCAAAACACAGCATGGAAGCCCAGAGGCAGAGTTTCCAGCCTCATTCCTTCCCCAAAATCCATCCTCATTTTGGCATCCAGAATCTGAGACTTGCTTGAGTAATTTCCTTTCCCATACACTGTTCCCTGCTCCTCGGTATCTGAGTAGGGACACACACACACACACACACACACACACACACACACACACACACACACACACACACAGCTCTTTAGGGAAAGGATCCATTTCCCAGTCACAGTAAACTGGAGTGACAGATCAGGAGACCTTGGTCTCAGCATCCCATGGATGCTGTGTTTGCTTGGGGAGTCATAATGCCTCCAGGTGATAATGGAATCATAGGTGAGTACCAAGCTGTTAGCTGCTCCTGGCCTCCAGTTTTAGGAAAGCTCTGGGAGTCTGTGTTCCTCAGAGCCCGGGACCCAACCTCACTCTTCACCTCACTGTACAACAGTCCTCTCCACCTAGATTGGAAGCAAGCCGCGCAGTCTGTGCCTAGGAAACAGGATTTGTTGGCAGAAGTCAGAAAGGAGATGGAAGAGAGTGATGTGCATCTAAGAGCCGGACAAAAGCCTGGGGTTTGGGCAGCAGGAGCAGGTAAGCTGGAAGAGGAGGCATGATCTCTGAAATCAACCAAGGCAGGGAGTGAGGGGCGGGGGTGGGTGGGGTAGGACGTGGGGGCGGTGGTATAAGGACTAGGGAAACAGCATCGCTTCAGAGAGTTGAAGGGGGTGAGAAAACTCAGGAGAGTCTTTGAACCCAGCGTGGGAGATGCTGGTCCCCACACCCTGTGGTTCTTCACCACCACAGCCTGGATTCCAGCCCACAAGAATGGGGAGTCCTGTCCACCAGGCTAGACTAGGATCTGGGATACAGCAGGGGATCTGGCTCCCCGCAGGGTTGTTTGAGAATAGGGGCAAGACTAGGTGAACAATAGGAGGTGTAGAGGGAAGGTGAGCCGCAGGCGAGGTAGAGAGGTTTGGGGAGAGAGCTTTGAGGTAGCTTAGATGCACCGCAGAAAAATGCTCACAGGTGGGAAGCTAGAGGGAAGGGACCTGGGGACCAGTCTGCTACTGGCAAGGGACCTATCGGGTTTCCCAGAACAAGAGAAGGTGGGATGGAGTTTGGGAGATCTGGGTGTTTCAGTAGAAGGAAAAGAGCCAAGCCAAACTCCCAAGCAAAATGCTGAGTTGGGGAGAGACATTCCCTCCCTCTGAGGACAGGAGTGCAGGGATCTCACTGCTGGGACACTTACCCACAGCCCAGTGGCTGCCGCGCGGGTACATCTTGGCCAGGACAGTCCCTCCACCTGTGCCTGCAGACACTGGGGCTGCTGGTCCCCGGGACGCCTGGCAGAGGACCAGTGCCAACAGCAAGAGTGGGAGCTCGAAGCCTCGCATGGTCCCGGCGGGAAGCCCTCAGAGCTCTCTGTTAAGCTGAGAGTGCGCTGTCCCGGCAGAGCAGCGGAGCAGTGACAGAAGAATGGTTCCAAGGAGCTCTGCCACTGCTGCTTCGAGAGCGCCACCGCTGCAGACTCCACGAGGCCTGGACTTTATATAAAGGAAGCCTGCGCGGGAGGGGCCGGGGGCTCTTCCACCGGGACCAGAGCGCACTGACGTCTCCCTATAGCGAGCCGGGCTCACGGATGCCTGCCCGGGAAACCATCCATCTATGGCGAGTGATGAAAGGCTGAGTGTACCTTGACCCATCTCCCTTTTTCCACTAGTCCCATCCGAATAATTTCTGCCATCCGAGAGGTCTTCTCCCACACGATATGGTGAACTCCTGCTATGCCCTGTCCATCACTAGCAAGCAACAGCAGCAGCAGCAGCTGCCTCGCTTGCTCTGCCAGATGCAGGATAGAGCAAGAGGATGTGCTCTGTGTACAGAGCTAAGCTAGTTCGATTAAACACGGGCCCTCTGGCAGACATACTGCTTCCAAGAAAGTGGGGCGGGGTCGCTCTCCTGCGAACTTCCCTTGCCAGAGTCTAACCAATAACTCAGTGTCCCTTAACTATTTCACACATGGCAAGGCTCCTGCAGAATTGCTCAGTTTCCCTCTGCCTGTTCTGTTCTCACTTCTGAAGACTGGTCACCCACCCGGCGCAATTCCATGACTGCTGAGGGGACGTGCACCATAGCAATGTGACAATAAATAGAAGCTTGTAGGAAGTCATTGCGCACGGTTTGGCTGCCCAAACTGATCCTGTGGCTGTGCTCATAATAGGTGAGGCCGGTTTCTAACCCAGAGCTGGTGAACTACCTCTGTTTGGGGCCTGATTGTTCCCTGCGAGCTGATTGCTAAAGTCTCCGGTCTGAGTTTCTGGCAGCAAACTACGTTTGTGCCTTCCTTAAGCGACCACACACAGCACATTGCATGGCAGTTTTCTTGGACTGGAAATGTATTTTTGTGCATGTGTCTGGTTCTAAGGAGAAAAATGCTGATTTTTGAGACTGGTTTTAGTAGCCAAGGAAATACAGTAATACTATCCTAAGGGAGTGATCCAAGGGAAAGTCAAAAGGAAAAGGGAGGGGTGGGGTAGTAGATACATACACAGAGAGAGAGAGAGACAGACAGAGACAGAGACAGAGACAGAGACAGAGAGAAGAATCTATAGTAGGTCTGGATCCTATCTCTCCTGGATTCCCAGCCTCCGCAGCCCATCCCCGGGCTGTCTGTGAGCAGGCATCGTGCCCTGAACACACATAGACTGGCACCCTCCCAACAGCACACTTGGGACTTATCGGGGACCTGGTCTTGCTTCTCCATGCACCTGTAGAGCGCTGGATCGCAGGCTGCTCAGCATGTTTGATGAGTGGATGTCTTTTAAAGAAACACCAGGTCTAATGTCTTCTACACCTGCAGAGGAGCTTTAAACCCTTCCCTCTCCAGACTAAATGCCAGAGGAAGGTCCTTTGTTTGAGAAACCTTGCTTGTGTTTTGAATGCTTGTTCCAGCGGCACTATGTTCAAGATTATGTAGCCTTTAAGATGATGCCTGGGTGGCTTTTGAAGGTCAGACCTCATACTGGTTTCAGCCTGCTTCTTGTCCTTCACAGTCCATGGCTTACCCCCCTGCCAGCCTCAGTCCTGTTCTCACCACTATGAACTCCAACATGCATGCCTTCCTGTGGAAAGCCTCTGAAAACATGAACCCTAATAAGCTTTTTCTCCTCTAAGCTCTATCTATTGAATATGTTGGTCACAGCAACACAAAATTAGCCAATATAATCATTCAAAATGATGCTTTCCTTACAACACAGAGGAAAGCCCCAGCCAGAACATTGGTGCCAAAAGGGACAGCTCTTCTGTGACTGAGTACACCTCACTTTCTGCGCCTCATACCTGGGGCTTTTACTCTGAAGACCTGGCCCACACACCTTCTGCCACCTAAAGCAGAGCCTTGTGCTTATATGTGCATCCTACTTAGGCAGCCATGATGTCAGCCCTGTTCACGGCTGCATCTTGTTCGGCCCACAAAGAAGGGGTTCAGAAGATGTGGGTGGGCGCAATGTCCTGCAGGTACATGAGATGAGCCGGTCTCCACACCAGAAAGGTACTGGCTCGTTGCCAGGTAGAGGCTGGAGTCGTTGTATATTTGATTCAGATATATGAACAAACCTCAATGGGTTCTGACTGTGTGACTACTTAGATCCCTTTAAAAGCCATCTCCACTTTTAAAGCTAAACTCCTGTGAGAAAGTTCTCATCAGGCAACGGTCTGTGTGACAGATAACTTCTTGTTGCTTTGGTTTCGTTTGGTTTTTTGTAGGTTTTTTTTTTTTGTTTGGGGAAGGGGTTTCCAAGTTGTTCCATCTAGGTATTTAGGAGTTAGGATTCGTGTAATTTTGTACCTCCTCCACTCTTTCTAATGCAGGGAGACTTAAAGGGCGTGTCCACAAAGAATGTGAAAGCTTGCCTCAGCGTAAATTGGTGCAGTTCGCCCTTCATCAAGAACATCTTATGTCCTAGTTACTTTTGCATCTCTTAGACAAAATACATGACAGCGATAACCTAAAGAGAAGAGCTTTGCACAGCTCAGAGTTGCACAGACTTCTGTCGCCATTGTGGGAAAAGCAGCTCACCCCATCCTAGTGGGCCAGAAATCAGAGAGACGTGTGATCCTGGCTTTTAACAGGCTTTTCCTCTCTTTCCCCTCACTCTATCCAGGTCTCCAGACCATGGAGCAGTGTCGCCCATCTCCATAGTGCTCTTCTTTCTTGTCGCTCCTCACTGGCAACGTCTGCCTAGGCACACTCACAGGTGTTCCTTGTTATTCAAGATGACGATGAAAACTAACTCTCATCTGGAAGGAAATGTCCACTGAACTAAACACTGCTTGTGGCTACCAGTGCCTTGTGTTCAGACACTGGCAGTTAATCCCATTGCAGATGGGTAACAAGTACTGATCACTGAACCACGCACGAGGAGCCCATCCTGTCTGCGTGGCCTGGGTTGCAGTTGGCAGGAGGGAGAAGATGAAGCACATGTGCTTGCCTTTCCTCTCATCAGCTGAGATGTAACCGTGCTCTTCTGTTCATGTCCCTGTGATCAGCCAGCTCCATGGTCACAGGCAACAGCAAGGGTGGCTGGAGGTTTCCTCCTGATACTTACATACCAGCTCTGATTGCATCTCTGCAGCTAAGGACTTCAGTGTTTAGAATGGCTGAGGTACTTGGAGCGTGTTACAAACTTAATTCTATAAAATACAACTGAATTCTGCAGAACTGGCCAGCAGGAGACACTCCTAAGAGACACAGTGGACTTCTAGCCTATTTCCTCTTCTCAGTAGTTCCTGTCCCTTGGGGGTTCTCCTCTTACCACCATAGGAAGCACCACTCATGGCTAGGGCTGCTGCTGGCCAGAGCAGGGCACTTTTAATGGACTCCTCTCTACATCCAAGAACATCTCATTTGATGTTTGTTTGTTCGTCTGTTTATTTGGGTGGGTGGGTGGGTGGTCTTGCAATGACTCATGAGAGAAAAATCACAGATCACAATACTGATTAAACCAATGAAGAGTATAAGGTATCTTTTATTTTGGACAGTGGCTGAGAGTGGGCTAGCGCCTTAGAAAAACTCTTGGTACTGAAGCTCAAGGGGTACAGCATTTCTTACTGGCAAAACCCACAACGTTATCGGTGTTAGATGAAGCTTAGAATAACCTTTCAACATTTGTTTTGACAACATAGTAGTTATTTCAGTCACAACATGACAGTTCACTTGGATTTATACCTTTATCAGCTATTTTAGTTTATGTAAATATTATTTAGTTCAGTTAATACATCTGGACCATGGTCAGGGTCAGGAAAAATCACAAGTGTGCTGCCAAGGCAGACTTGGTTGTAGAGGGCTGAGACGTGTCTAACATAAGCAATAAGGGGCAAGATGTTGTCACTGTAGTCACTAGAGTCTCATTGTGCTTGTCAAATACTCTGCCACTGAACTATGCCCCACCTTTCTTTTAACAATTTTCATAACAGGCAGGCCTCGAACTTGTGGTCCACCTTCCTCCATCTCATGCACTGCTGGGATGGAAAGCATGAGCCACCAGGCCTGGTAATTAAATCTCTTGAAATGGATTTTACCTTTAGCTGTTTCCACAAACGTGCCATGCAAGAAACAACACAGCCTTTAACAGTTTTCTGTGCTTCGGTAACTCTGCCAGTTTTGTGGGGGGCCTTTGGTCTTGGATTCTGACTGTGGATTGGTTTAGGTGGCTCTGAGTGTCACTCTGTCATAATCATCAGACTGGCAAGAGCCATGTCTCATGATGGGACAGAGATAGACCCAGTCAGGAATACTGAAGACTACACACTGACATTTCTACCCTGTGTCATTGGGAGTCACACGCAAGCCACACGTGGGAGCCCCAGCCAAGGTATGGGAAAGTATAGATCACTCATCATGCAGGGAAGTCAAGAATGGGGCTAATGTTTCAGTCTATGGCAGTGCAGAGAGACAAAGATGGAATAACACGCAGCACAATAAGCTAGTAATGGGAGCATGTTTATTCACCTTTGACTTGTCATCATCACTTAAGGGGACACCTAGCATTACTGTTGGGGACATCTTGGGAGATGACTAGGGCCACAACCCTGCAGAACCTTATCTTTACTACCAGGTGATATTTCCCAGGGAATTTAATAGTTGTTTCCTGCACTAGAATTCTATTTCCTATAAAACATATGGTGTATGTCTTTATAGATACATAATATTTCAGGCCAGTTTTTGCTTTATAACGTTCTATTTCAAGAAAGCATGACTGGGTGACATGAATGGAGAATCATGGTTGAGAAGGTATAATTTAATCAGGCCCATTTGTATGCTGAGAAGAAACACCCACTTAAGCTAGCTTTCAAAGTAGGATGTGATGAGCTGTGAGATCACAGTGGGCACCAGGGGAAACCCAAGGGTCATTCATCTGAACATCACAGTGACTCTAGTGGCCTCTGGCCTCCCACACGCATGCCACACAAAGTGCTTCCTCCTCTGTATGGCTGTTCCAGTCTGCTGTCCGTGACTGACTTCTGTGTCCATGATGCATTCCCATTCTCAAGTAACTTTTGTCCGCTTCCCAACCCATCATAGCCACCCTGGCTCCTTCTATCAGAGAACGGCTCTCCTCACGTCTTAACATCAGCCTCTGCTGCAAACTGCTGGTTTCTCAGTTCCTAAACTCCCAGTCTCCAAGACAAACGTGATCAGTCTGCACTGATCGCATCACACAGGGTGTAGGTTCCTCATAACCTTACATGGTGATCTTCATTCCACTACACAGCTCTGATACCTGCTCAGGGTTTAGGGATACATGCATA